TTTAAACTAGTGATTGATGGGGGAGGGCCAAGCCCATGGTGGGTGGTGCCATCCCTGGGCTGGTGGTCCTGGGTTCTATAAGAAAGCATCCCTGGGTTCTATATGAGCAAGCCAGTAAGCAGCACCCCTTCACGGTCTTTGCATCAGCTCCTGCCTCCAGGTTCCTGCCCTGTTTGAGCTCCTGTCCTGACTCCTCTCAATGAAGGACTACAATGTGGAAGTGCAAGCCAAATGAACACTTACCTCCCCAAGTTACTTTTGGTCATGGTGTTTCATTGCAGCAGTAGAAACCCTGACTAAGACACCATATTAATCACCATCTGTTGCAAAAAGAAGCTTCTCTGATAAAGATAGAAAGATGAAGTAATCTGCAGGAATAAGTTAAGAATTTAGGGGGCAGTTTATTACTCTGTCCATTTAGCAGAATAATAGCATTGAATTATCTTCCAGGGCCCATGATGTAGCCAGGCATGTTGGCCCAGTTAACAGTAACAGGTATAAGTTTTGTCTTGTGCAGCAGACTTTAAATCCAATCAAAAAGTAGTTACTTACTTCCATACCATTTTTTTGCCACTATTGCACCAGTGGACATATCTTGCCAAGCCAGTTATTACTGTAGCTCACAGAGCATAGCTAGGTAAGGCTGTTGCTTACTTTTATCCCCCTGTTAGCATGCATAGAACCCTTTAGCACTATAAAAGCTAGCTAGTAGAGATGAAGCTGCCAGGTGAATATCAGCTTGATTTCTCCAGGTTCTATGACTCAAGGAAGTGGTATCTTCATCAATAGGACCCTACCATCAATTTCTGGAGTATAATCAAGAGCATTGGCAATGCTTGAGGTGGGTTCAATTGGGACCCCCCTCCCACTGACTAGCAACTTGAAAAGAGGTAACCATTACCTGGCACTGGGCTTTTTGTCTGATCGCCTGTGCTATCTGGGTGAGGTGTCCCTCCATCATAGGGTAACTCCTTTTAAACTCCGTGTGTGTGTGTGTGTGTGTGTGTGTGTGTGTGTGTGTGTGTGTGTGTGTGCGCGCGCGCGCGCGCATGCGTGCGCGCATGCGTGTGTGTTTTAGGAAACTTCTACAGTAGTAGGTTTCCATCTTACTTTTCAAGGTTCTGTAGTGTTAGTTGTCACTCTCTGTGGTCCCTCCTTTACCCAGCTCTCCCATTTCTCATTAATTTGACCCTTTCAGGTCCATTATTCCCTTTTCCCTCTTCATACCACCTGTGTTCTAGTTTCCTTCCACTGAAATCTCCCTGCCTTCTATGGATACTCCAATTTAAGCACACTTACTTAAAGATTCAATACCAGAATCCATATATAAGAGAGAAGATGCAGCATTTGTCTTTTGGGGTCTGGGTTATCTCACTCTCAATGATTATTTCCAGTTCCATTCATTTACCTTTGAATTTCACTACTTTGCTTTGTTTTTTTTAACAGTCGAATAACATTATGTTGTGTGTTTGTATTGAGTTTTCATTATCCACTCATCAGTTAGTGGACATCTAGGCTATTTCCCTTCCCTGGGAACAGCCATGAACATGGATGAGTGTCTCTGTAGTGGGATATAGAGTCACTTGGAATATACTAGGAGTAATATAGCTGAATCATATAGTAGATCTATTTTTGGCCTTTTGAGGAAGCTCCACACTGATTTCCATAGTGGCTGCACTAGTTTATATTCCTACAAAAAGTGAATAAGTGTTCTTTCCCTACATCTTTGCCAGGGTTTGTCATCGTTTGTGTTTTTTATATTAGTCATTCTGACTGTAGTAAGATGACATTTCAAAGTAGTTTTAATTTGTGTCTCCCTGATGGCTAAGGGTGTTGAATACTTTTAAAAAATATTTCTGAAACATTTGTACTTCGTCTTTTGAGAATTCTTTGCCTGTTTTCTTGATGTTTAGTGTTTTAGTTTTGTTTTTTTATTATTGTTATTTTGTTTTTTGTATATTCTAGACACTAACCTCCCGCCAGACATACAGCTAGTAAAGATTTTCCTCCATTTTGCAGACTTCCTCTTAACTCAATTGATGGTGTACTTTGCTGTTCAGAAACTTTTTAGTTTCACGAGGCCACATTTGTTAACTGTTGGTTCAGTGCTTGTGCTACTGGAGCCCTATTCAGAAAGTCCTTTACTATCTGTACAAGTTTAAGCATATCCTTTAAACAGGATATAAAGGAGAACCTTTATCATATTCAGGGTTCCAGGTCTTGTGTTGAAGTCTTTAATCCATTTGACATTGAGTTTTGTGCAGGATGAGAAATAAGGGATATTTTCCTTCTACATGTAGCTATCCTGTTCCTGAAGAATTACACAAAATTCTTAATATAACACTTGCAAATTGAACTAAAGAGCATATCATAAAGATCATCCACTATGATCAAGTCAGCTTCATCCTAGAGATGTAAGGATGGTTCAATGCATGTAAGTCAATAAATATAACCCACTCCATAAATGGGCTAAAGAACAAAAGACTGCAACTGTTTTAAGGAAGTCTTGCTGAACTTCAAAATTACCATCTGATTGGAGAAAGGATTGAAATCTAGCTGACTCATAATCCAGGCAGGTAATGGGCATATTCCATCCTTTCCCTTTGTTATTATTGTTATCTAGTGCTTGGATGACTTTTTGTGTGTACTTGCATGTATACATGTAGGTACATTCATACAGGTACACGTTTGTGTGGGTGCATGTGTGTGTGACTAGAGGCCAACTTTCAGTGTTATTTCTCAGGAGCTATCCACTTTGAATTTTGAGACAGGGTCTCTCACTTGGCCCAGAGCTCATCAATTTGGTAAGGCTAACTGGCCACTGAGCCCTGGAGAGCCTCCTGTCTTCACCTCCCCAGTGCTGGCATAATAAACACATTCCACCATGCCCATTTTTTAAATATTTATTTAAAAATTTGTTTCATTTTACATACCAACCGCAGTTTCCCTTCCCTCCTCTCCCCCCTCTCCTCCTATCTTCTCCCCATTCCACTCCCATCCACTCCTCAGAGAGAGTAAGGCCTCCCAAGCCCCTCCCCCCTGCATCAAGGCTGAGCAAGGTATATCACCATAGGGAATGGCCTCCAAAAAGCCAGTTCACACACCAGGGATAAATCCTGCTCCCACTGCCAGAGGCCCCACAAACAGACCAAGCCACGCAACTGTCAGCCACATTCTGAGGGCCTAGTTTGGTTCCATGCAGGCTCCTCGGCACTCAGTCCACAGTCCATGAGCTCCCACTAGCTTGAGTCAGCTGTCTTTGTGGGTTTCCCCATCATGATCTTAAACCTCCTTGCTCATATCCCTCCTCCATCTCTTTGACTGGACTCCTGATGCTCAGCCTGGTGCTTGGCTGTGGATCTCTGCATCTGCTTCCATCAGTCACTGGATGAAGGTTCTATGATGACAATTAGGGTAGTCACTAATCTGATTACAGGAGAAGACCAGTTCAGACACCCTCTCCACTAATTGTTAGGAGTCTTAGCTGGGGTCATCCTTGTGGATTTCTGGGAATTTCCCTAGCACCAGTTTTCTCCCTAACTCCATAATGGCTCCCTCTATCAAGGTATCTCTTTCATTGCTCTCCCTCTCCATCCCTCCTCCTACTCGACCATCCCATCCCCTCATGTTCTCATCCTCCATCCCCTCCCCTCTCCTCTACCTCCTCCCAGTTTACCCAGGAGATCTTATCTATTTCCCAGGGAGTTTCATGTGTGTCTCTCTTAGGGTCTTCCTTGTTACCTAGTTTCTCTGAGGTTGTGGATTGTAACCTGGTTATCCTTTGCTTTATACTTAATATGCACTTACAAGTGAGAACATATCATATTTGTCTTTCTGGTACCATACCCATTTTTCACATGGGTTCTAGAAATTGAATTCAGGTAGTCTTGCTTGTATGTCAAGCAGTTTACCAACTGAGCTATCTCTCCAGTTCTGCCAATGAATGATATTCAATATCAAATGCATTGGATTGAATCAACTTTCAAGTCATATAACTTACTTTTTTAATTAATATTTTAAAGTAGCACACAAATTAATAGGTTCCATTGTGGCCTTTTCGTATATGATATGTGTCCCTTTGGCTGATTTCCTTCTTTCTCCCAGATGGTTCCACTTGTGCTTTCATGTATTCCATTACCTGATTCCCCCAATTTATATTATTACCGTGTCTATCCAGGAGAATGGAGGCCCCAGGAAGGCAAGGAATGTACTTTGGCTTGGCCACTTATGAGCAAGTTGAGTGTGCTGTTGTAGATTTGGGATCCTAGTACTTTATAGGCTGAGGCAGGAAGATTATGGGCAAGCCTGGCCTACATAGGAAGACCCAGTTAAAAAATTCATAAAATGTACAGGTCTAACTGGTCTGGGGAGGGGTCCAAGGGCTGTTCTGGAGCTGCCTGACTTGACCCTAATGTTGTCAGGCCTGCCCTTGGACTGCCCAGTATGGAACGGACATAGCCCATAGAGATTACATGGCCACCTCTCCTGTATAATGGTACCGCTGGGCCTCTGGTAAGGAAGCCTGGTGTGCAAATGGGCCAGTAAGCTAAGGGGCACTGGATGACTGTGTCAAAGCCTTGCTCGGCTCTGGCTCCAGGATGCTACAGGCACTTGAACCAAGAAATGGCACTGGGTCTTGTCCAGCCTACCTGGTCCTCTCAAAAGTGTTGGCACAGCAGAGGCTAGGTAGGAGAGCCACCCTTTCTGGGTGCTGAGTGATAAGAATCAGAGTTGACCCAGGATGAACCTCAATAATGGGGTGGCCTTTCTTTATCCTCCATGGCACTTTATGTTGATGTATGCTATGAGGAGAAGTGTTGCCTGATCTGAGATAGGTCTGTCCTTCTCAGGAGTTATGTTTGTTGGAACACATTGTGGTGCACCAGGATTAGCACAATAAATTGGGATCTGGGAGAGGAGTCTGAAGGTGGAGGTGCAGGGAACCAGAGGATAGGAGGAGCCTGAAAGGGAGCCTTGAGTGAGGGACACAGAAGGCAGCTGAAACATGTTGGTGAGATGGTACAAAGTAGGTGGCGATCCCTTAACTGTATGTGTATTGTTAGACCTGAAGACCTCCTCATCTTTGTCAATGGGAGTGCTAACTATCTTTCATACAATGCCCAAATCGTTTTTTAAGCTCTCAGTGTGCTAACCCCACTTCTTAGAGTTCTCTTTTGGGTACCATAAATGGCTGCTAAGGCCATTGACCAGCTATAGGATAAAGAAACATTCTCTACCCCACCTCTCTCTGTTGAGTGGGGAGTGAAAGGAGAGAACTGGAAAACATGAGTTTTCCTGCTTATACTTCCACAGAATGGCCTCTTGCTGGTGGCTTTTAACTGTCAACTTGACATAACCTTGTATCACTGGGGAAGGGAATCTTAGTGAGGGATTACCTAGATTCAGATTGGCCTGTTGGGGGGATGTCTTGATTGTTAATTGACATGGGAAGACCCGCCCTGAATGGCAGTATCCTTTCATGGGCTGGACCATGAACTATGTGAGAGTAGAGAAAGGTAGCTGACCATGAAGCAGCAAGCAAAGATGTGTTTATTCTCTTGACTATGGTTGGGATGCGACTACACCAAGGGACTTCAGTTAGAATAGTGTGCCTCTCTCGACACTGCTTTTCAGTCAGGGTGTTTTATCACAGCACAGAAAGTAGAACAGGTCCCTGCCTGGAGCATCACTGGTCTTAGAAAAATGTCATCAGTGGCATTATTCGAGGACATCTGGGAAAGATTTCTTTCCTATTCAAAACCAGCACCTTCGCTGGACACAGAAGGGCCATAAATGCTGCAATTTCTGTGAAGTATCTTGAAGATGTAAATGAAGTGTTCTTGTGTGAGGCAGGATGTTATGTATTAATCATCCAGTTTTCTTTAAGTGTTTTCGTGTACCAAAGTGCTGACTCACTCACGCTTTAAGCTTGGTCCCAGGTCTTTTCTCCTCTACCCACATTATCTCTTTAGGCTCAAAACAAAGAACAGGCCTTGAGAATTAAAAGGGGCCTCTGCTATCATGTGATGAACTTGAAGTTGGTTCTGGATGGCATACAGCAATACTGCTCAGGGGACATTGGGCAACATCCCAGAGACAAAATCTTGGCTATTTCCAAAAGGCCCAAATGTCAAAGGCTGATCTCCAGAGCGCTGCTGTTGACAAGTGGTGGAATCTGAGGGATAGAGACTAGTGAGAAGACTTTGGAACTCTGAGGTTGTGTTCTTGAAGTACACTGTGGGCCACCAGACTCCTTTTGTTTTGGGCTGGGAGGTGAGTGGTTCCCCCCCCCCAATAACTCTACTATGTTGTGTTGCCTTACCATAGGCCAAGGTCATGAGAAAATAAAACTACAAACTGAAAAGATGTGAACTGAAAGAAACTTTAATCTTTCTGTTTGTTTGTTTATTTTGTTTGCTATTTTTGAAACTGGGTTTCTTTGTGTAATAGCACTGGCAGTCCTGGAACTCGCTCTGTAGACCACACTGGCCTTGAACTCAGAGATCCACCTCTCTCTGCCTCCCAAGTGCTGGGATTGAAGGTGTGTGCCACCATGGCCAGCCCCAGAAAACTTGCTCTTAATGCATTGATTCTCTCATAGTTTTAATGTAGTGACAGAAAGCAAATATACAGCTGGAGGATTTACTATTATGCCCTAGTAGGTAGAAGCTAAGGAAGGATACTGCCTAGCATCCCACAAGGCTCTTCTCAGTGAAGAACTGTCATTCTGAAAGTCATGCCTACAGATGTTGGGAAATCTTGACTAGTGAACATTTCCTGTATCAGCTAAATATTTTTGCTACCATATGGTAGAAAACTCTTTAAAGAGTGGGTTTGACATACGAGGCATTTATGGGTTTTATTTTTCCAGTAACAAAAGTCCAGAAGTAGTTAGTCTACATCTGGTATTTCTTTCAAGAAATTATTTCAAGATGTCTTCTAGCTTCCTACCCTCCATCTGTAACAGCTGACTACTTCATGAACACAAGGTTGCTGCTGAGCCTCCAGACATGCCCAAGAATAATTAGGGAGAGCACAAGGCAAATGACATGAATCAGAAGCCTGTCCCCCTTGTCAGAAAAACCATTTCCCAGAATCTCTACTTGGAAGCATTCTGCTGGTTTTCTTTCTTATGAGACAGAATAGAGTTTTGTGAAAAGGAGAATGTGAAAGTTAAAGTATTAGCTAGGAAATACTGCTTCTATAAACACAGAGGCTCTGGGATACTGTCCCTATTAACATTAAGGCTCTAGGATACTGTCCCTGTTAACACTGAGGCTCTAGGAATATTGTCCCTATGAATGCTGAGGATCTAAAAGGACAAAATAAGCATTTTAGTAGACAACTGGCAGCTTCTGCTTTACCTACACACTTTGAAATTAATTTTAGAAAGCGAAAGAGTCCTCATTTCTTTCAATAAAGGGATATTATGTACCACTTAAGAGCAAGTGTTAATTTTTAAAATGAGGCAGGGGGAGATGCTCAGTGGATAAGAGCATCTGATGCATTAGCATGAAGACCTGAACTCAAATTATTTTGAACCTATGTAAAAAACCAGGTGTGGTCACACATGTGCCTGTACCCCAGCACTAGAAGAGTAATGGATGCAGAGACAGGAGGATTGTTGGAGTTTGTTGGTTCCCAGGGGTCAGTGAGAGGCCTGTCTCAAAGGGTAAAGAGTAATAGATCAGGACAACTGAGGTACTCCCTTGACCTCTGCATATGCAGAGAGGTGCATGCACATAGGCTCATCTTCCTCACACGTATACACAAACACACATGATAGTATGAGCTGAGTTAACTATGATAGTGCACAGCAGAGGGGCTGAGAAGCTGACCTCCAAGTTTGGGTCATGTTGTATTTGGGATAGAATGTAAACCTTCAGACCTTCAAGGCACAGTGGTTTATATCACCAAAGTCAGTTCTCTCTGGCTCGTGTTACCTGTTGTTTGGTTACTGCTGATTCTGCTCCATGCTGTGTTGGTCATGAAATGCAGACTGCAGGAGAAGCCAATGGTTGTAAAATGACCCTTGGCCATTAGATATGACCACTGATAGAAACAACAACAACAACAACAACAACAACAACAACAACAACAAGAAAAAACCCACACCAAAAATCCAAATCCATGCTACAACAGATGATTTTCTTTTCAAAGATTCTGTTTGGATGTGATTTGTGCATTTTCCATGTATATTGTGTTGGCAGATGCAAGCCTTCTGGCCTCCCTGATGTTCACGAGAGTGAGGATTTATAAGCCTTCCCACTGGGAGAAGGGGAAACCGCACACATTTGTCCGCAGCTAGTTTCTTCCTGGTGTGCAACACTTTAAAATGAATTCTGTTCAGTCTGTTCCTCAATTTCTCCTCTTTTAATGAAAATATTGGCTATGAGGATGGAGCAAGTGAACCAAAACCACATCCAGGAAAAAAGACAGCCACAACATGCCACTTCAATCACTCATGCAGCAGCTCTTTTCTGTTTTCCTTCTGTGTGCTAGGCTTTGTGTGGGTATCAATAACTCTGGCTACAGATGCCATCAAAGTAGCAACTAGAACGGCTTTTCTCAAACCATGGATCATGACCCCCTTTGGGGGTCGCATATTAGATATCCTGCATATCAGATATTTACATTAAGATTCATAAGAGTAGCAAATTATAGTTAGGAAGTAACAATGAAATCATTTTACATGGGCGGTCACCACAACATGGGGAAGTGTATTAAAGTGTCGAAGCATTAGGAAGGTTAAGAACCACTGCCCTAGAATCTAATATGAATAAGTAACATCCTAGTAAAATGTATGGGTAGAGAAGAGGAACTCAGACCGGAAGAATGGAAATATTCATGGGAGATGACACTCGAAAAGAGACACAGGTTATCTAGAGGAACAAGAAAAGACAGGAAACATCAGGGTGTAATTAATGGTGATCTGTTAAAACTTCTTCGTGGTGGCTAAGGGAAAAAAAAAGAATAGTGTCAGATAAGATTTCTGCTCAATAGTGTTCAGTGGGAGAGGCAAAATAAAGATGAAGATTTTAAAAAGAAAACCAAGCATTTGTGTATGATGTAATCATTGCAGATGATTAAAGAGTCTACATTTTATAATTACAGCTCCTAAGTGACTTCACCAATATTTCTATATAAAAAAACCAGCATAGAAAGCTGAATTTTCTATGTTTTGGCATCAAACTCTTAGGTTTTTTTTAAGTTTTAAAGCAATCTCATTGATGACAGGATAGAAGCATCAGGTACCTAGCCAGAAATCTAACCAGAGATGCCCAAGAGCTAGAGAGGAACAAATATATGCAAACTGCAGCAACATTAAAGAAGACTTCAGTGTACAAATGGAACTGCTTTGTTTAAATGTTTGAAGATGCAATATTATCATGTCATTTCTTCTCCAGTCAGTATAGACATTCAATGGGATCCCAGTGCCCTGGGATTATTTTCAACTTGACACAACTCAGGGTCACCTGGGAAGAGAAAGTCTCACCTGAGGGAGTGTCTAAATCAGATTGGTCTATGGCCATGTCTTTGGAGCATCTTCTCGATTGCCAGTTGATGTAGGAGGGCCCAGTCCACTGTGGGTGGTTCCCTCCCTAGGTAGGTGGGCCTGTGTTATATAAGAAAGCTGGTTGAGCAGGAGCTAGTAAGTGAGCCAGTAACATTCGTTTATGGTTTAGTTCTGCAGACTGGAAGTGTGAGCCATATAAACCCTTTCCTTCCCAAGTTTCTTTTTGTTAGGGTGTTTTTTTATCGCAGCAACCAAATGAAAGTAGAACAGCTAGGAAAATTGCATTTTTGTTGTTGTTATATTGTCCTGGCAACTTGTTAAACTGGCTGTAAATTTCTAAGACAACATGAAACAACAACAACAAAACAAGAGTAGATAAACGCTCTTGAAAGACATCACAGTGAGATAAAATTTGCTACTAAGTCAATGGTCATTAGTGGAAAATACCATCATGAAACCAAGTGAAGTGAGTCTAGTCACACAACAATAACAACAACAACAACAACAAAATGATCATAGGAAGGAAATTGTTGATGAAAACAGATAGGCTGTTGCACAGATTCTCCTATGGAGGCCTGAATAAATGTCTGTTCACCTCAGATA